CGGACATTCGGACCGGACGTCCGAAAAAAATTTTTGGTTTTCGGACATTCGGACCGGACGTCCGAAAAAAAATTTCGGTTTTCGGACATTCGGACCGGACGTCCGAATTTTTTTTTCGGTTTTCGGACGGACGGACACTATTGTCCGAATTTTTGTCCGTGTCCGTTGACACCTCTATGTGCAAGGGGGAGGTATTCCGGTTTTACCCCCCCCTCTAGGATTCCAAAATGTGGACCCCCTCCAAGCGATTTCGAAAATTTGACACTAGATATACAGTAGAACCTCGATTATCCGTCAGGCACCGGACCAGCGCATTGACGGATAATCGAAAAAGACGGATAATCGAGACTTTCATATAAATAGAACAAAATAATCAAGATTTCCATACTTTCTAATTAGTTTATGACGAAAAACAGGGTGATGTAGAAACTATATAATAGATATGGGAACAGATTTGGTGCATTGAGAAGTGTACCGAAAACGCAAAGCCTCTGATTTCAAATCCTATTGTGCGAATGTACAAGGGGCACACAATTGATTTTGATTATGAAAGTTAGTTGGCAACTTTATTCGTATGTTCAAGTGGAATAAACTGAAAAATGAACTGAAAAAAAACTTTTCCACCTTAAAAAGGTGTGACGGTTAACGGAGGTGACGGATAATGGGAGGACGGATAATCGATGTTCTACTGTAATCGATTTTCAAAAGTGAGGACCTTTTTTTTTTTAGTCCTCACTTTTTTTGGAGACTGGTTTTACACTAGATAGAATCGATTTCCAAAAGTGAGAACCTTTTTTTTTAGGTCTTAACTTTTTTTTCGACACCCATTTATAAATTTTCAGACACCCATTTATAAATTTGACCCCCCCCCCCTGGCAAAATCATTTTACCCCCCCTAGAATTTTTGACCTTGCACACGTCTGGTGGCGGGGAAACGTTCAATTCAAAAATAGAATGTTTTATGGTTGGCATGATAATTGAACATTTCCCCACCACTTCTGAAAATCCAATTGATCATTTGGAATAATTCCGAACGAAATGTGCGGTAGCTGCTATTTCAAAATATACACAGCTATTGCCTACAAATAGCAACTACTAATAGCTCGAAATATAGCAATATACAAAATGAGACCTCTGGCTTTTCCACAATTATTATCACATTTTTTCAATTTTTTCGGTTTTTCGACTGCCATGCACCACATTTGTTAGAAAAATGGTCAAAAATGACCTCTTATGACATTTTCATCTGAGAAAACTATAGTAATTATTTGTATACAATTTTTTCTCCAAAAAAACATGAGTCTCCAAACACTCAGTGTTTGGACAAAGATATCAATATATAACAATTATCTAGATAAGATAAAAGATAAGATAATCTTATCTAGATTAATTTCAGAAAATCTTCAAAATATCTTATCTTTATCTTATTTTTTACACGTTATCTTATCTTTTTTGAAGATAAATTGAGATAATTCTAAAATTATTCAATTAAAAATTTCAATGGGAGAGAAAAAATTGTCAAAGAAAAAACGAAAAAAAAATTGCAAGAAGAAACGTTCAGAAATTGTAAAAGATATCAGAAAATCAATTTTATTTCGTGCATTTCGAGAATTAACAACGCAAGAAATATCGAAAGAAATATTTGTTGAGATTTTTACGCAATTTTTCTAGTTTTTCTTTAGAAAAAACAACCAAGAATCATCTCATTTTTTATCTGAAGATAATTGAAGATAATCTTATCTTTTTTATAAAAGATAAGATAAATCTTATCTTTATCTAGATTAAAACACAAAAATTAGGTGTTATCTGGTTTTTATCTATTTAAAATTCATTTATCTAAATTGAACACTGCAAACACTTGAACATCGGTTTACCTACAAATTTCGTCTTAAATCGACATTTCTTTCGTTTTGAACGATTGAAAGGTTCATACCAAATCACATTTTTTGCATAGGAAACACAGTTACAATGGTCTGTTATGAGTCTATTTCTTCGTAATTTTTGACATAGAATTGATTTAAAGCTATCACAATCTGGTCTGATGGGTCCAAAAAGTCGAAAAATGGCTCTGTTCCAGTTTATGTTTTCAACTCGAAATATTGGATGCAGAAAATCAAATTTTTGCTCCCGAATATGCTTTTTTGAATTTAAATCATAAGATTCACTCATTTTTCAACGAAACAAACAATAAAACACTCACTTCTTACTATTTTGGCCTCAAATCAGGGCTTTGTGTAAAAATCATAATTTTGGGTGAATCTTCCGACGAAAAAGTCGATGTGAATTTTGATTGATTTCGTGTGGAATGGTCGATATATAGATTATATATATTATTTATAAAAAAAATTATTTTTCGTGGAAAAAAAATCAAGTCATTTTTGTACGAGAGCTTCTGTCACATCAAATAAACTTTTCATTTACATTTTCGAATTCAAACGGCCGAAAATTCTAGAACGTCCGAGGAAAACACGGCTGTCCGAAGTGCCTCCATAGAGTTCGAACGTCTTAATGGGTTTTCCGGCCGTCCAAAAAAAAGTTCAGCCACTTCGGACGGACAACAAAATTTTGTCCGTTGACACCTTTATTCGTAAAGTCCGTGTACAGGACATCAACTTGAGCTCTGGGCGTAGTACACAAACTCTAACCGAGGTACACACTTCTTTCATAACAAAGCCATTGAAACTCCTAATTGCAATTGAATTACATTTGGTGAAACTGTATTCATCGAATACATTGTGGTGAATTCATCTCTAGAATAAAATTCATCGAACAAATAATATCGTATTCAGGCGAAACTTATATTCTTTTATTTTGTTGGCAATACATTTTTTGGGTTTGCCTGAACTTGAGTAAATTTTCACAGTTTTCATTTATTGTGGCAATGCTTAATATTAAGTAATCAAATGATGCGAAGTAGTAGGCATAAATATGTGTCAATGAAGACAACAGAATGGAAAATTATTAGCTATTGAATCTTTTAAATTCTCTTTTTGTGTGATACATCATCGAATATAATATCTGTTTCTAAGCTTTGATTTTGTGACTTAAATCCCAATCGTGGAATCTCCGGATTTGTGACATATTTTTATGAAATGAAAAACGATTTTGGTTTCAGAATGGAGTTCACAATGCAGCTAATTCGGACATAGCGCTTAGGAAAAGATATTATGTTAACTGAATGTATCATTGATTGGATAAGAGTGATAAGAATGATAAGGGCAGATAAAATCCTGCACAATACACGCGCCGTACAAAATTTCTCGTGATTATCGCTATACTTTCCATTCGCATTATCTGTGCGGAATAGTAAAATATGGTATCTTAGTGTTCGCTAGTTCGAGTTATTTTCGTTTTCTTTGCAAAATTTTTTCAATTTTTTTCCGTAAAATATCATTGGCAATATTAATCCTTTCTTGTTGATGTCGTCGGTTAATAGCTGCGCTGGAAATACGAGATGCACTGCTTGTCAAACTATTCGGTGAATTTGTAGATATGCTGCTACTTTGGGGACGCTGCGCCAAAATCTTGCTCAAAAGAATTTGATTTTCCCGTTCGATTCGGCGGATTTGTTCATTGCTAAACGTATAACTTATTCTAGTTCCATTTTTAAAGTAATAGCATCTAAAGTATAAACGGAAGTTGAAAAATATGATTAAATATTGAATAAACACACGTATATCCATGTGTCAGAACCTTTTCTCCTGAGAGCGCAGACCTTGAATTGATCGCACAAAATGAATATCAAATAAATGATTGCTACTATTCAAGTGGTGTGGTGAATCATAATAATAATTATTTTGACTTAATGTCGAATGTTCTTGATCAAAATTGGAAACATCATCATTGAACTTATTATCCAAGGCCACGTTTTTCATCTTTTCTTCAATTTCTTCGATGTTTTTGATTGAAGCATATTCATTTCGACTATTCATCTTTATTTTAACTGAAAATAAACAAAATGATAAAAATTAAAGATTATTATTATTAATTCGCAGAGATTTTGACTCTATGTTGAAACTTACAAATGTCGACTCCTGCGTTGTTCACTAATATATGTGCACGTACGTTAGGAGTCAGTTCAATAGTATCAGCCGTGTTTAGCACTACAAGAAATGCATAAGAACTCATACATAAACATACTGAAGTGTAGTGAGAATCGTTTGCTATGCAGAATTAGTATGGACTACATACATTCGCTACACAAATTGTTTCGAGCACAACATTAGCGAATGTGTGCGAGGTATTAATCTACATAGCAAACGATTCTCACTACACTTCTATGTGTTTATGTATGAGTAACCATTTCAGATCGCCTGGATTTTCATGACGAAACGGGCCGGAAAATCGCCCGGAAATATAAATTTCCGGATATTATCGAATAAATCCGGATTTCGCCCGGATTTTTAAAAAATTGTACCTCTTTTCCCATTTTGTTCATACGAAGGGCTGTAACAGTGATTTGAACGGCACATGAGCACCATCTCTACTGATTGCCATTATTGAAATGTAAATGTATACAATGTTTACTTGAACCCGTGAGCATAAAAACAACGTATTGACTCTTCGCCGATGAATACGAAACGCAAAAAAATCGCCGAACAAAGTGAAACACCAATCTGTTATTGGATCAATATGAAACATGAAATCGTTGGCCACTATTTTATTTACGTTGCGCTTTGTTCCGAAGCGCGGCAAGTGTTTCATTTTGTTCCAGTAACAGAACGTTGTATCACTTTGTTCGGCGACGCGCTCAATGTACTGTTTTGAAAAAATATGCATGATTTGATACAGTTTTGTGCGAGTGCAACATAAATTCTGTTCGCTTGAAAGTGAATCGTGAAATATCGGCTGACTATAGAAATTGTGTTTCACTTTAATTGAAACAAAAATGTTTGATACACTTTTGAGTCCATTGGTATGATGATTCATTTTAATGGTGGTTTTGGTCGTGATTTGTCTATGAAGTGAAAATTAACTGATAAGGAGCGCGAATTTCGATGTGCCGATAACACCAATAGAGCAGAAAAAAATACTATATGAAAATCGAAAAAAAATTTAAACTTTTTTTTTCGACTGTTGCCTATTTCGGATCGTCTACATGGGAAGTTTGTATGAAATCCCCGGAACGCGGGTTCACGCCGCTGTGAATACATTGGTTTATATAGTGAAATCTATACATGGCCAAAACACGGACGCACAACACCCATTCTATTTCGCTCACACTTACGTGCAATTTTTGCCCGTATAACAAAGTAGTCTGCTTTACTGTTAAAAAGATGTGCGCAGTAAAGAAACAAGAACGTACATGTTTCAGCAACGTTAAAGTGCACGTAAGTGTGAGCGAAATAGAATGGGTGTTGTGTTAAAATAAATAGTTTAATATACCAATGGACTCAAAACTGTATCAAATCATGCATATTTTTCCAAAACAGTACATTGAGCGCGTCGCCGAACAAAGTGATACAACGTTCTGTTACTGGAACAAAATGAAACACTTGCCGCGCTTCGAAACAAAGCGCAACGTGAATAAAATAGTAGCCAACGATTTCATGCTTCATATTGATCCAATAACAGATTGGTGTTTCACTTTGTTCGGCGATTTTTTTGCGTTTCGTATTCATCGGCGAAGAGTCAATACGTTGTTTTTATGCTCACGGGTTCACTTCTTCTTCTTCATATTCTCAACATCAATTACATAAGACTTATGGTAACTCTCCGTAATCATTAGAGGTGGCGCTACTTATGCGCATCAAATGACTTTTGCATTAGCTCTTATGTACTTTGCGTGCCTTTTGTGTTCATAGCCATTGCATTTTTTTTTAATGATTGTAATCAATGTTTAAACCCGTTATAACCAAAAGTTGAAATGAATTATTTTCTTCAACTAAGTATACTTTGATCGTTCAATATTTTAATAACATTTGTGACAGTGGGTGTTCAGTTTAGTGTGTGCGCTCAATACTATGTTTGTTTTTCAAACAATCATCATTATGAGTAAAAATGATCGACGAATGCACATTAGTTCGCAGTTTGTTCTTATTGTGTTCAGTCCGAATGAAAACATAAACGAAAAGGTGATGAGAGTGATGGGCGACAGCGAGTTCAGAAAAACTACACTGAGGGAAATTGTGTTGGTGCGATTGCAGATGACCTTTCGAATATATTGAAAAGCAACTTTTTTTATGGCGGTTGTGATTTGTCCAACTATTTTGTGATTTCAAATGGTTGCAAACTAAACAACCACAATATAAAAAAATTGCTTTTTGACATATTCCAAACGTCATCTGCAATCGTACCAACATAATTTCTTTCAGTGTATAATTTTTTTTCAATTTTGAATTTCGCCCGGATTTTCGAGTGAAAATCTTTAGACAAATCGCCCGGATTTCGCCTTGAGCTGCCAGTTGAACGTTCATGAACGGTTCACGTTCAGAAATATTATTATATTCTTGTTCATGTTCGTTCGCGTTCAGTCCAAATTGGTCAAAATGAGAAAAATAATGTTTATGTTCGTTCAAGTTCATGTTCAGTTTTCTCAAAATTGTTCACGTTCAGTTCAACTCTGTTTAGGTTTGGTTCAGAAAACACTCCAATTAAACTGAATATAGACAAATTGATACCCGCATTTACGAACATATAATACAATACGTTCAATGCACTAAAATAAGGCGATATAAGTAGTTGTGAAATATTGACGCCTAGAATGCAATTTTCGAACTGGTTGGGGCAATCACAAAGGATCTCGGGTTCATTTCAACCACTGTTATTGCTTTCGGTTGGTACGAATGAAGTTTAGTCAGTTTTTGTGCACGCTCCTAACCCAATACATTATATTCAGCCTTTTTTTGTTGTTAATGCACACTCGAATATTGCCATTAGAGCCGCTGAGAAGTGATCCGAATATTCAGAGTATTTCGGCGACCTTAAATAAAAATTTTCATTATTTCCAAAACAACTGTTCGTCAAAAATTGAATTTCAATTGAAAATTGATCTGAATGAAGTCAAAACTTCGTTTCTTCTTCAATTCAATTATTCTTTTTTCAGAAGAGATCAACAACAATAAAAACTTAATGCCACAGACTTGTTAATTGACAACCGATTTGAATTGAACGTCCGAATTTTCAGTTTATTCGTGCCGATGAGTAATCGTTTTGCATTCAACGACAACTTGAAGTTGGTCCATCTGATATTATCATAATTACAACGAATACGATGGCTGGCTGGCTATGTTTCAAGTAATCATGTTCATCAACCGCACTGATACTATATTTAAACAATTGAAAATGTTTCGTAAATTGGATATGAATGATACGTTCATTTGCTTGCAGCTACCAATTTTTAACCGTCCGACGAAAATGTTATTTCCTTGAAACACATATCAGCGTTATTGACCGGTTTACGAAAATTCGCGAATTTTAGTCTTGAAACAACGTGAATTTATAGAAAATTTGTCTCCGATTGCATGAAATATTTTTTGAAGATTTATAGAAAAAAACTACAGTAAAACCCGTCAATAACGGAATCCCGTGGGGAGTTTTTTTCCCCACTATTGCCAAGAATTCCAGTGTTCACAGGATCCGTTATTCAGAGGTTTTTGAGTCGATTCAAACAAGATTTTCCATTATTGATGGTGAAAAGAAACAAAACATACATTTTTATGGGTATTCAATTATCAAATCAAGTGATATAATGAACGTGAATGGGAAGGTAAATGATACTCATTTTTTACACTATCAATTTGGCAGCGATGAATTCTGCATTTCATGAAACAAAACAATGATTACCAAACTTGATGTAAATGCACTGATCTAGTGAATATGTTTTTACTGGGAGCCTCAAAAATTTGTTTGCTTGAATGAATAGGCAATGATTTTGGCAAACAAAAGTGAAAAATAATACTGAATGAATGTAATGTAAATTGCAGTGATGGTTTTTCGTTAGCCAGCTATCTGTGTGAAATCAGTACATTCAAAGTATAATAATTTTTGATTTGCGTATTCTGATTCAAATCATACAAATTTTGAAAAAAATTAATATATTTCAATTAATTTCTGAATATTTGAAATTGAATTTTCGTTCGGGGGATACATAAAAATGCATTTGTTGTTGCTTTGTTTTTGGAAATTAATATGTTCCAATGAAGTAATGGGTCTAAGATTACTTCAACACTCTTTTAATGGATATTTTGAAATAACGACGAACTTGGTTGAATTCTTGACAACTTTGACATTTTGATGTACACACACATATAAATACGTATGGTGGATTGGAAAACGTCAGCAATGAACTATACTAACACTTGGTGTAGCAAGTTCATCGAATGTGTGAACGGGTTGTTGACAGTGCAAACTCACGATTTTTTCAAAATATTTCTTTGGAAAACAAATCGTGGATGAAGCCTAGGCTTTGCAGAGCCCGAATATCAACAATAAAAGAAAATAAATGAATATAATTCCCAAACAAATAATGTATATAAAATGTATGGCGTTTCCAATCTCACCACTGTTCACCACAATCAGTCAAAGCATTAATGTGAATGACGCATGACAAAGTGACTTTGACAGCACACGCATATGAATTGATGTCATGTTTACAGTCGGAAACGTCAATGCAAAATCTCCAGTATCCAGTTTCAGTCTACTTTAATCACATTTTACAATGTCCAATAAGGGGAAAATGGAACTTTTTTAATGAAAGTGGAAATTTGCTATTTACAAAACTTGTGAAATGTGGATACAAATGTTTTACCCAAAAAATTACAATTTCCCAATGATAAGACCTCAAAATAGACATACTTCTACATAAAAATGTATTTTTCCAAAAAAAAGCCTTACAAAATTTGTGATATCAGATGAAAAACCTCTAGACGAGGTTAAAATGGAGTGACGCTCCTGTGCATGGATTAACCACTCTAAAAGACTGATATCATATTGAGTGACGCTTTGACGCTGTATTACCTGTGGATACGAAGTTCAGAAGTGTATTTCGCATTCACTATTGTAAAAATTTATTTACAATAAGGAAAAATATCGCGTCACGACTTTTACACGGCAAAATGTTTTTTAAAAGCTTTGAAACAAAATTCAAAAGTCGTGACGCGAT